TGGCTCCATATTTATTTGTAATAAATATGATTTTAATTTCATTTGATGCAAAAAATGACATTTCAGATTAGAACATTACATCCTATTCAAAGTCAATAATATAGAAATGTGGAACAGGAAAAAATAAAAGGTTATTGGTACTTTTACTCTGCCTAAGGAGCCTCATCAGAAGCATATTCTAATTTGTTGAATATAACTAGATTAAACCATTTTAGTGCAAGTTGGACCTCTTTTTACCACAATAATTCTTCTTGGCCTAGAAACATTCCTTTTGAGATTTTGCATTGGTACAAATCCTTTCATCTAAAGATGCGCTGCTTTTTTTTTTTTAAAACCATCTTTTAAACCTCATTCGCCACCTCAGAAAATCTGACTTTGATCTCTTCTCAGTCATGCCAAAAATAAATAACTCCATGTCCGCACTAGCTGACAGATTAAAGTATAATACAGCTTCTTTGGGTAGGTTTAGTTTAAGATTACTCTGTAATGATGTCAGGTTGCCCAAAGGGCAAAAAGAGTCACCTGCTGGATTAAATTTGAAGTCTCCGAGATATTTCAAAGGGAAATTTCAATTTCATTTTAGGTGTGAAGGGGCATACTATGACAGTTTGTGCTTGCTTTGTAGAACATGGAAAATGAAGTTAAATTTGAAAAGCCTGTCTGAAGTTCTTTTTACTTTAACTATTTTTTGGGCCCTTTTAGCTGGAAAACTCTTTGACAAAGTAGATTTTGTGACATGTCTGCAAGAGCTGCCTGAATGCACAGTTTGTGGAGATCTCTTGCTAGATTTAATTTGCGAATAAAAAAAAAAAAACTACCGACACTGTTATTAATCTGATCATTCCTCTGGCTGATGATTAGGTTGATTATGACAACACACACTGACACATTCGAGCATCTGTTCAGAAATGAGTGGTTTAACTTTCAGTTTTTTCTTGGTCTGTGAAAAAACAAAAATCAATTTAAGTGAATCCTCCATGAAGTGTTCTCCATCCACTTGACACAAGGGGCCTCCTACATTAAAACATTTTTCTGCTTCCCTGGCCTTGAAGAATCCTTCACATCCATTGGTTTTCATCCCTTTTATGAACATCTAAAGCCACAAAAAAGTGAAATCATTCTTTTTTTTTTTTCTTTTGGCTGTCTCGAGTCTCATCACTCCTGATTGTTCTGGCTTTGGAGTGCCTTGCGGAAATGTTTTGACAGAAGTCAGATGTGCTCACCGTTCTCCTTCTTTTATCACAATTAAAGCGCTGCCGACGTTTCGACAAAGGGTTTGAATAACTGGATTAGAATTCCATTCAGCTCTCATTGCCATCATGTCTGCACCGCTGATCTTTTCCTCTTTCCTTTTTCATATAGAGTCACGTCTACGTTGTCTTTCTGTTTTCCAGAAAAGGGACCTTGCTGCTGAATAACTGCTTTGCTGTGACGGCCGCTTTGTTGCTGTCGCTGGGTGAGATGTCAAGATCTTTTGAGATGCTCATCATCGGCCGGATCGTCATGGGCGTGAACTCGGGTCAGTGTGCAATTAAAGGGAAGCACGTTTTGTTGAACTTGGTGTGCAACAAATGCTGCAGCTTTTGCTTATTTTGGTGAAACAAGAGTGGGGGGGAAAAAAAGGTTTAATTAACTGTGTAAACCTTTTGGTAGCCCTCCAAATAATTTAAATAATAATTTTGATACCCCTCCAAATAACACCTAACGGCTCGGCCTTTTATCGCAGCAGACTGTATGAACTTGAGAGACCAAACACATCTTTAGAGAAACGCTTTCCTGTTTCTTTCAAAATGCTCCAACCTAAAAAAGAAAAAATCAGGTTTAAAGTTTGATCTTTCCAAAGACTAAGGCTGCTTGTCTGCATAAACAAAACAAACAAAAAAAATAAGATGAAGAAATTAAGGTAAATATTATATTGGTAAAGAAAGTGTTTGGAGTTCATCAAGAGGCAAAAGCAATAAAGGTAGGCAGATGTGTAAAATAACTTGGTTGTCAAATATGAATTTGGTGGTGATCAGAGAGCAGAGAAGCTCTAATTGCCTTCTGTTCCGATAGCCACACTAAAACCACAGAGGGAAATAAAAATAAAAAATAACACCACTTATTCAGAGAATGACTCCAGTACAGCCTTGGCAACAACCATTCATTATATATTCATACTGTCAACAGGATGGGAACTATATGCTTGGATGCTCTTATCACCAAAACAAAATAAAATATATACTTCAAGCTGCAATAAAAACAAAATAAACGAAATACAAAAATAGCACTTCAAGTGGACAATCAATGAACTTTTTTTTTTCTTACTCAACTAAAACTGCAAACTTGACCATCTCGTATGGAATTGCTTTAATTCTCTTAATAAATTGACATTTTGAAAGCCATCGGCTTTACAACATGTGTTGATTTTCTAAAAGTTGTAGTCATTTGATAGAAACTGTTAGTACAGCATACTTTTATGCTGCATGTTTTTCTCAGGTCTCAGAAAAATATCTCTAAACATCAGACAAAATGACCTCAGACATTGGAGACAGTTGACAAAAAGTAACTATCAGGTTAACAGATTAAATGGCATCAGACCAGATGGATCCAGACAAAACAGCATGATAATAACTCAGACCTAAAGGCATATTCCCAAATAGACTAAGAGCAAACTGAGTCAGGCGAAATGATTCAGACCAAACAGATGTAGACCGAATAGACTCAGACCAAGTGACATACTAAGCACCATCCGAACAAATGAACTTAGACACAAAACAAAACTTTTTTGGACAAAACAACCTGATTTAAAATGACATCATATCAAATGTAATCAGACCAAACTGACTGCTTGTGCCAGTGCAAGTTTATTAGCGCTCTTGTCAAGAACCCACAAGGCTTAGAGCAGAGTTTTACTGAGTTTTCTAAACACAACAGAGACCAATACGTCATGGGGTAATTCCCTCCTGCAGATTATTTGATCTTTTTTTGTCTTCTTACTTGTTTTTACTCCCCTTTTCACTTGAGTCTATTATGTGACCTTTATTTTTTTTCCTCTAGGTATATCACTTAGTGTCCTCCCCATGTACCTGGGAGAGATTTCCCCTAAACACATCAGAGGGTCCATTGGCCAGTTCAACTCCATCCTGATCTGCTTGGGCGTGTTCACAGGACAAGTGTTGGGTCTGCCTGAGCTCCTGGGTCAGGTCGGTGAGCAAACAAATATAATATGCCCTCCTGTGTAAGCAGTGGATTTTTACAATTCGTCATTGATGACTGATTGTGATTGCTTTGATGAAGTTGGAAAATTAAAGAAAAGGCATAGAAATCACATAATCCTTGAAGTGCAATGGTACATATGACTGCGGTGTTCTCTGATTGGATAAGGAGCTGATGTAATTTCCAAATCCAGGTGGAGAAGCTCCTTTCATGGTCTGCTTTAGTAACATGTCACGGTATAACAGCAGAGTGGGCAGAGTGTGAACACCTTTTAAACAGCGCATCATCTGGATTCCAGCTGCACACCAGCATATCTATCCCTATTGAATCTGCTGGATCATTTACACGCCTGTCTGTGCATTAATTTGCAGGTGGCTGCTGGTATTTTTGTTCCTCTCTCAGTCTATTATATAAGCTCTTCAACAATTAACACAATAAAGCTTGATCGCTCTGACAGATAATCAGTTTTTCCAGACTCCTTTTACCAGTGAATGATTTTCCCTCCAGGCTGGCCTGACCTAAACCATGACAAATTATAGCTGAGAGAAACATTACCCATATTGCCTCTTCCACTGTGAGAAATAGATTTTTTTTTTAGTTTAGTAATGAATTCTTATTTTTTTGTGTTGATTTGTTTAATTTCCAGGTCTGCTTTGACAGCTCACTGACTGCTCCTTATATATTTTGCTGCATTCTCCTAATGTCTGCTACAGAGTCTGAAGGATTTCCCTTGAAGTCTATTGAATAAGTTAAGTAGAAAACAATGCTGAGGGTGGCTGGTGACACAATTGATTACCGAAAAGGGTGTACGGCAAGGTGTGAATAAGAAATTGTTAAAAGCTTGAAGGCATGGTCCGGTGTTCATGTAAAAATTAATTTCAGCAAACATTCAGCTTATGTGAAAGGAAAATTATTCATACAACCTTCCACACGGATGCTGTTTTGTGCACCAGCAAAACATGACGCTTTCAGGATTTTGTCATTTGCTCCAAATCTCTTAGTTCTGCTGGGTTGAAAGAAACACACACGGCTGAGCAGGAGATGTTTAGGTGGTCCCTAAAAATTAGTAATACTGAATACATCTCTGGTGCCAAAGGAGTGGCGCTGCATACTTTCTCTAAAGCATTTAGCTCAAACATAGTAAAATATTGTTGCAACTTTGGGTAATTATTGTGGGAGATCAGTTACTGACACAAAGTCGTCTGCAGACATCGGCAGATGTTTAGCTCTGACAGAGGGCACATAAAAGTAAAAGACAAGATTTTCCTACCAGATGAACAGCAGCTGCGGTTGCCTCGCAGCAAATCAGTCAGCATATACCCATGAAAAAGGTGTTTGGTTTCAAGAAAACAGAACACGTCCTACGTTCAACAACAGTTCATCAGAGTCTGTGGTTTCAAATTATTTTCATCCATGGTACTAACAACTTCCTGTTTCAAGAGAGATGTAGCTACAAAGGCTCTTTTTTTAATTAAAAACATTGGTAAGGCGGGTAGTAATTAATGTAATCTTTTGTACTTTAAGGAATTAAATGATTAAGTCTTAGATATAAAAAAATATGTTCTTCAATCTAGATGCTGCTATACACGTAGCAGCTACACATGTTTAAAGAATAGCTATTCTTTAAACAATTTGGGAAAATACCCAAATTGCACTGCTAATTGGTTGTAATTGAACTTTACTACCAATTAGCTCCCACACTAAGAACAACCCCACTCCTTACTGTTAACATGCAAAACTCAGAAAATAAGGAATTGGTGTAATAAAGAAAAGTAAATAAATTAACTCAACTTTGTAGATTTTCTTTAATCAAATCACCTTACAGTGCAGCCATGTTCACCCAATCAACATGTAAAAGGAGGAAGCCAGGATTGAACCTACAGCTTTTTGCACTCTTAAGACAAATGCTCTTAATGATCCACTGTCACCCCACGACGGTAAATGAAATCAATTTTACATTTACTTAAGTTATCGCCTGATGTTGAAGTTTGTTTAACCTGAAAATTTAACTGAAATATTTAAGTTCCACAACAAAATCAAATTCAACAGACATCTGTAACCACAAAAAGCACTTTTTCACATCACTGTAAACCTGAAAGTGATGTGAAAGGCCATTCGTTTGCTAGTCAAAAAGGTCTGAGTGAATAGTAAAGACACAAAAACAGCTTGATACCTAACATTTGTCAAGATTAATGGTTGGTTTAACATTGAAACCAACCAGGTTGGTTTTATAGTACAGTTAGTTGTTCTACAAGAACTATATTTAATAATCGTCAGCCACTTTTGTGCTGAGCCAGATATCTGCTTAGCTAAGAAATCACCTTTACCTATTTACATTGCAATGGCCTGCTTTCCTCATCTCCCTAATCTCTTATATTGAATTGCAGTAGGGAAAGCGCACCGGTCATAAATTGTGCAGCACCAGGAAGTTTTTCCCACGATACCAGAAGAGTTAACATTATGCACGACCACTCTTCACCTTGCTGTGGCTATTTTTAGCGTCAGCTTTAATAATTCATCACCTACAAATAGTCATTAGAAGGTGCAATTGAAAGGAAATGAAATTGCACCCTATCTTGGATGACCCACATGATACTGGGGATTCATATTCGAGTTATTCTGTGCTTTGAACAATTTAAGACAACAAAATTATTCGATTAAAGAAAAGGAAAAAAAAATGTGATATGTAATGTTGTATTTTCTATTTTAAAATGCATTTAATTTGACTTTTGAACGTTCCTAATGGAACTTGTGTGTGTTATTTGTAGGTAGAATACTCGTATCAATTTACTTTGCCTCTTAACATCCCGTTTTGGCCCCCGGCATTATGCCTAATGAGGTACCGTATGAGGACACCCGAACAACTCGCATGATCTGGGCTCTCGTGTCAGCCGGCTACCCCTCCACATCTTCGTTGCGACATTAATGTAAGAGTCGGCCACAAAGGTTTAAATGCCAAGGTCTTTCTAACTGATGAGGGCTCACAGCTCTGGTCTGACTTTTTCAACTCCGCGGCCTCTCAGCAGATCGTTCTAGTTTGGTTTGACATTCAAGCCCGAGCTGGTGCTGGAGAGAGACGGAAAGAAAGAGAGAGAGAGAGAAAGCCCATCTCTGCTCACTCTTAATTATTTTTCTTCACTTTCCCAGGCTAGCTGCCAACATCACCCATCAGGCACCTCTGTTTAAAAAAAAAAAAAAAAAAAAATTTTACCCTTCACTTCACAGTACGCGTCTGGGTCTATCTGTCTGTCTTATTTCGTTTAGATAGCACCAGGAATTGTCAGTCACACCTTGTTAACCCAGAGGAAGTGTTACTCTGTCCCTTCACACCTTATTGGCTATTGTAGCAAAAACATTGGGTATGGTCGGTGTTGATTCCGCTTGCCACTGAAAGATTGTCATGACGGGGATCCATCATATCCCCACTCAATTATTTGCGTGCTGCATTCTTAGTTTATCTTTCAGGCCCAGAAACAGACATGAGCCCAAGGCACATGAGCTTTGAAAGCCAATCAGTTATGTCATGAGAACAGAGTGCTAATTATCAACAGCTCTCCTCTTGGCACACTTTGGAAACTTTAGATTACCAGTTACTTTTGGCACCGTATTAAAACAAAAATGAATTATGGAATATGTCTTCTGAAATCAATTAACCGTATTTAAAGCCTGCAATTATATCTGTTGGCACTTGTTGATGTTCAGTTGCGATCAGTTATGGTTGCAAAAAAATAAATAAAATGCAGTAAAACTAAAATTAAAATGAACAAGCTAAAGAGTTCAGAAGGCTTTTGTTTTTCATGATTTTTAGAAATTTACATTTAAAATGTTTTGGACTTGGATCCATACATCTATACATATGTACATCTTTTTTCTTCTGCTCATCCAAGATCTATTTGGAGTTTTCGATTAGAAGAAATAAGAACGTACTATAAATTCAAACATGTGCATCTACTCTTCCTTTTAACATTTAGTGAAGTTGTTGTCATCATTGCACTCTGAAAAAGGAAACAAATTTTTAAATGCATCACTGAAAACCCAAAATAAATGATATTGTTGGCATGACGACTGCATGTAAAGTTCTGACCAGCACTGTAGGTACTTGGACCCAGTGAAGACTTTTATACAGCCATATTAAAACATAGTAGTGCATCCTATCAAGGACACTGTTGAATATTATTGAGACTCTGATTAATTACACACAGACTTTGAAGCCATTATTTCTATTAAGTATAATAATTTTCTGCGTGGCGCAAATTAAAAGATGACATTTAAGATTGAAATGTTACATCAGACCAATAAAAAAAACACATTTTATACAGAAATGTACCCTTGATGAAAAGTGAAATTGTTACTTTCTAAAGCTACGTTTAATCTTACAAACAAGCACATTTCAATTTACTGCAATGTACCTGTATAATACCAGACTCTTGGCTAGCTGTGTGTTGAGTATTATTGTCTCCACTACTTTTTACCCTGCCTGGTTTTAATCTAATTAAAGGGTTTTTGACTCTTAATTGTTCATTAACAAAACATTAGGACATGGTGTGAACTGTCTGATCAAAAATATTGCCGTCATTAAGATTATGAACAAATATTTAGACATCAGGTCTCTGTTTTATTTCTCTGAAGTTGATGTATTTTTTGTGAAAATTGAACGTGGCAACATAAGCCTTTCTTTCTGCTTCATGTTTTGTATGGTGTCTAACCTTATGCCACAGATATATGTAATGCACGCTTCCAGCAGAGCATTTGAACCCATTCGAGCATTTAAAATAGGAGTGACAAACACTTTTTCAAGCCAGTGAATCTTTTGTAAAACACCTTTTTACATTATGTCAGTGGTCCTGTGCCCATGAAGAAGGCTGATGGTTGTGAATAACCCCTTTATTCTTAGCTTCTTGTGCTTTATCCTCCTTGGCTGTGCCTTGCCTGTCATTCAGCAGAGCATAATGATTTTTAAAGAATTTATTTTGGTGTGGATCTTTTC